CGCCACCGCTGCCATCCACAGCCACGGCACACCCGCCACAGCTGCCATCCACAGCCACGGCACACCTGCCACAGCTGCCATCCACAGCCACGGCACACTTGCCACAGCTGCCATCCTACAATACAGCACACCCGCCACAGCTGCCATCCACAGCCACGGCACACCTGCCACAGCTGCCATCCCACAATACAGCACACCTGCCACAGCTGCCATCCACAGCCACGGCACACCCGCCACAGCTGCCATCCACAGCCACGGCACACCCGCCACAGCTGCCATCCACAGCCACGGCACACCTGCCACAGCTGCCATCCCACAATACAGCACATCCGCCACAGCTGCCATCCACAGCCACGGCACACCCACCACAGCTGCCATCCACAGCCACGGCACACCTGCCACAGCTGCCATCCCACAATACAGCACACCTGCCACAGCTGCTGAACCAATACTTACTAGTCCAAATCCAGCCTTCCCATAGGGCTTCTTTCTCTCTTCTGGCCATGCATTCTGTGGGATTTGATGAATGTGTGGTGACTTGTACCCCCATTCTATAATATCACAAAGAATAGCTTCACTGACCCAAAGTGTCCCCTGAGAGAGCGGCCTTTTCACCATCTCTGTAGTTTTGTGTCTTCAGGAACATTGCCATTTTGTGACCAGCTCACACAACCACTTCACAAAGCTGAATTCACTGAGCAGTGTGTGTTTCTCAGGCCTCCTGTGTCTTGGTGTCAGAATAGTACATTTCTGTACCACTGGCTGTGGCACAGCCTGTGCATTCCTCTACCAGGCGCAGGTTAAGACCTCCAGTGAGACCCATATCCCTCGCAGGTTGAGAACCTACCTTGTGTCTCCCCAGGAGGGTGACAGTGGTGTCCACTCCAAGACTTGTAACTGTGAGAATGGGTTTATGAATAAAGGAGACTTGAACAAACCATCTCAGGGATCTGCCCCTTTCCTCACTGAGATCATTTTTTCTTCTCTTGCCTGTGGTGGAATATTAGCTTAAGATGCTTTATATTTATTTATGCTGTGGAACATTTATTTAATGATGCTAAGATGTGTTGCATTATTTTATGTTGCATTTGTTTAACTCTGTGAAGCTGTGTTACTTTGCTTGCCTAAAACACGTCTAATAAGGAGCTGAATGGCCAGTAGGAGAGAGAAATAAGTGAGGTTGGTAGGCAGAGAGAATAAGTAGGGGGAGAAATCTAAGGGAAAGGGCGAGAAGTGGGGAAAGAAGGAGAGGAGAACACCAGGGGCCAGCCAGCCAGCCAGCCAGCCACGGAGTAAGAAGGAAAGAAAGATACATAGATAAAGAAAGGTAAAGAGCCCGGAGGCAAAACGTGGTTAAAGAGAAACGGGATGATTTAAGTTAGAAAAGCTGGCTAGAAACAAGACAAGCTAAAGCCAGGTATTCATAGTAAAAATAAGTCTCTGTGTGTTTATTTGGGAGCTTGGTGGCTGGCCCCCAAAGAGTAAAAAGACATCTATCCTTGCCCTTGAGATAATAGGCTTCTTGATGTCTTCTTGAGGGGAGGGTTGGATACTGAGTAGAAAAGACTATCTGTTGAGCATGACAATGGACCCTTTGCAGATTGTGGGGGGATTAGGAGACCTGGAAGATCCCTCAAAAATGCCCCCCCCCACAGCATGACAAAGAGAAAGTTGTGGTCAGAGGGGAATTTCGCTGTGGCTCCTTGGTGGTGGGACTCCTGAGTGACACTGGGCTAACAGCTGTCCCCAATCACAGAGCAGTGTGGCTTTCAGAATCTCGCGTCTGTCACCCCCATACCATCTCTTCAGGGTCCAAAAGAGACACTGCACCTGTTTACGGGGGAAGAATGAGGCCTCTCTGTGCACTGTGCTCACTCGTGTGCGAATGAGCGTGTTCCCATGTCAGAGGACAACCTTGGGGGTTGGTCTTCGGCGCCCACCCTATTTGGGGAGTCTCCATGTTGTTTTCATTATAGACATGCCTGCCTAAGCAGCCCGAGAGCTTCTGGGAATCCTGGTGTCTCTGCCTCCCTCATCCATAAGAATGCCTGAACCTCAGACATTCCTGATATGTGTTCTGCTTGGGTTCTAAGGAATCAAATTCGGGCCCTCACCATTGCGCAGCAAGTATTTTACCCAGTGAGCCGTCTTCCCAGCCTAAGCCTGAGGCTTTGAGAAGTTAGACAGCATTGGAAAGGCAATGGAGCTACAAGAAAAATTAAGACCTGGAAGACTGACCCCAGGCAGCTAGCTCAGGATCACCCTGCCATTTGCATCTCAGGAAGGCTGCTGGCCTGTGTAACCTATACATCCAGGGCTTGAGTTACAGTCTTCAGAACTTAGAAGCTAGTCTTGGACCACCTTAGCATTAGCCTGGCATTGGCAAGCTGGGCCAACTCCAGATGCAGAATAAATGAGGCCCTGCACGAAACAGGACTTTAAGCCATGGTTTGACATGTATCAGCTCTGCTTGGATAATGGAAACAAGAATCAAGGAAGCAGGGTGGACAAGACGACTCAGAGTGAAAGTGCAGGCCGATATCCTGAGTTTTAACCTTAGGATCCCCAGTGGGAGAAGAGAGCTGACTCTGAAAAGTTGTCCTCAGACCCCCACACGCATTGCTCCTGGTGGGTTTTAAGAGCTCTTAGCTGTCTAGCGTAACCGTCAACAGAGAGACTCCTCCGGCAGCTGATGGGAGCAGTGCAGAGTCCCACAGCCAAATGTTAGCTAGAGCTCAGGAATCCTTTGGAAAGTGGGGAGAAAGGATTGTAGGAGCCAGAGGGGTTGAGGACACCACGAGAAGAGGGCTCACAGAATCAACTAAGCTGGGCTCATAGGGCTCACAGAGATTCTGCCAGCAATGAGGGAGCCTGAGTGGGTCTGCACTAAATCCTCTGTGTTGCGCTTGTGGGACTCCTCACGGTAGGAACAGGGGCTGTCTCTGAGTCTTTTGCCTGCTTTTGGGACCCTTTCTTCCTACTGGGTCGTCTCACCTTGCTTTGATATGAGGGCGGCGCCCAGCCTTGCTGTACCTTGTTATGCCATGTTTGCTGATAACCCTGGGAGGCCTGCTCTTTCTGAAGGAAAACAGAGGAGGAGTGGATCTGCGGGAGAGGGAAGGTGGAGAGGAGAGATGGGAGGAGAGGAGGGAGGGGAAATGGCAGTCAGTCAGGATATAATATATGAGAGAAGAATAAAATAATAATAACTAAAAAGATTTCATCTATTTTATGTGTTCACGTGTTTTGCCTGCATGTATGTCTATCACATGCATGCAGTTCCTGAAGAGGCCAGAAGAGGGCACTGAATCCCCAGAACTGGAGTGGTTGTAAGCTGCCACATGGGTGCTGAGAATCCAACCCAGGTCCTCCGGAAGAGCAGCCAGTGCTCTTGACCACCAGGTCATCTCTGCAGCCCTTCCTAGTGATCTCAATCGACTCAATCACAACATTTAACACAACAAATATATTAAATTCCAGGACTACTAAAATGTTTTCAGAGACTACTAAAATATTTTTTCATGTGTATGTGTATGTACATGTATGTGTGTTCCCATGTGAGGGAAAATGCGAGTTCACATAATTGTGTGTGTAGAGGCCTGGAACTGTGTATGGTGGGGTTGGGGTGAGCTGCCAGACACGGGTACTGGGAATAGAGCTCTGGTCCTCTGGAGGAGCAGGAGGTGCTTTAGCCCCCGAGATTTCTTTAAAATCTATGTTTTATAACTAACCCAGAAGTGGTATGTGGACAGAACACAGGCTAGCAAGGAGCATGGTCTGTGATATTTTAAAGAATTAGCTGGGCCATTTTAAAATATATATAGCTAGCCTCCTCATCCCCACGTGACTGATGGCCTTGAACCCGTAGTCCTTTTGCCTCTACCTCCCAGATGTGGGTGTTCCAGGTGTGCACCACCACACCTGGTCTGTGAAGTGCTGGGGTCACACCCAGTGCCTTGTGCAGGCGAGGTGAGCACTCTTGTCAACCAAGCCACATCCCAGCCCCTCAAAGTGCATCTCAGTGCCGTCACATAGCTGATGTGGCAGTTGTCGTCTGTCTGCTTTTGGAAACTGGGACGCCACAGCAGGAAGCCTCCTGTGCACCTGAGCTCGTCCTCTCAGGGTCGGCCATTGCCATCCGTGTGTCCTCTGTAGCTGTTGCTCTCTCTCCAGATGGGTCTGTCCCAACAGCTTGGTGGTCCTTTTTAACCGTCTGTCCCAGTTCTCTGAAAGCAGCTACTGCAAGTTGAGGACCTCCCATGGCTCGGGCATTGGTAGGTATAGGCAGGCTGGCATCTGAAGGCGCAGTGTTCAGTAAGCAACTTCTGGGGAAACTCTAGCATGTAATCACCTCTCATTGCCAGGCAGCTGGCACGAGCTGGGCCCCATTAGTTCATCACCACTCCTAGGATGAACTCTCTAGGAACAAGCTTTGCCCCGTGGCCTGAGAGCTCTGCCCTGTGAGCTCACCCATGCTGGTGGGATGGCCCAATCTTTACTTTTAGGGAACTATCATTGCCACTGGGTGGAAAGACAGGAATCAGCCTCACTTCACTTCAAAGGTGACCTTGTTTCGAAGAGGGAAAATGACGTTTGGAGTCAGATTATGGGAAAGTCCTGGGTTCTTTGAGGGAGAACACAGTAGTGTCGCAACACACGCAACACGTTTCAGGGGCTGGGGTGTGGCTCAGGTGCCGAGTGCTTGCATAACATACACACGTCCCAGGTTTGGTCCCCAGCACCACATGGACCAGGCGTGGCAGTGCACACGGACAGTGTAGGGAAGATTATCAGACGTTCAGGGACAGCACTGTCATCATTGAGGGCAGCCTGGGATGCATGGGACTTGTCACTTGGGCAATGCTAAGGTGTGTTAACAGTACTGCTGCCTGAGTTTTGAGGTGAACCACACAGGGGCGAATGCCACACTGGTAGTGCCAAAGTGAGCTTAATGACCTTGTCCTTGCTTCTGAGTCGGGCACCTCCCGGGGTCTTCTCAGGCACCCCTTGGCCACCTTCTTCCACCTGTTCTTCCGCGTGAGTGCCATCATCACCTATGTGTGCTGTGACTGGTTCAGCAGGAGCTTCGTTGGCTGCTTTGTCACTGTGCTTCTCCTACTGTCCTTTGACTTCTGGTCTGTGAAGGTAAGGCTCCTTCTCCAGGGACACGTGGGCTTTGCTCCCAGGGGTGCTTTGATTTAAATTGTTGCTACACATTGAAGAACACTGAGGGGCCAGCAAGATGGCACAGCAGGTAAAGGGAGCTTGTTGTCAAGCTTGGCTCCACGTATGATCCTTGGGACCCACATGGTTCAAGGGAAGAACCGATCCCCAAAAGTTGTTGACTTCCACGTTTGCTGTGGCACATGAGAGCCCTTCTCCTCCACACAAAATTCATGTTTAAAATTTGTAAGGATTACTGGGCCCATGTCACTTACAATAGAGAGCAAAAATGCTTCAGAAAGCAGCTTCCAGGATCAGATGTCACAGGTGCACAGATGCACCATGGGGGTGACAACCCCATATAGCTTTGCATATAATATATACACATTAAAACATATAATATGACCATCTGTGTTATTTTGAGGCAGAGTCTTCTTTTTTTTTGAGGTAACATCTCACTATGTAACCCTGGCTATATCCAACTCACAGAGATCTGCCTGCCTCTGCCTCCCGAGGACTGGGGTTCAAGGCATGCACTGTCTACCATACCTGGCCAGAATCCCACTTTTCAAAATAATATGGGCCAGTATAGTGGCACACATCTTTAATACCAGCACTTAGTGGGTGGGAGGGCAGGGGGTGGGTGGACAGAGGCAGGTGAATTTCTATGAGGTCAGCCTGGTCTACCTACTAAGTTCTGGACCAACCAGTGAGATCCTGTCTCAAAAACAAAAAAGTAAGCTTAAAGACAAGAAGTTTGGAAAGCTCTCTGGAGGAACAATTACAATACAACATCCACCCTTTTCCCACTTTCTTTTTCATGCAAGCATGCACACGTATGTTATAATATACATGTGGTCAGAAGACAGCTTGCAGAAGTCAGTTCTCTCCTTCTACCATATAGGTACCGGGGAATTGAACTCGGGTCATCAGGCTTGGCAAAAGCATCTTCACCCACCGTCATCTTACCAACCCCACACCCTCCTCCTATGCCTTCTGCAGTTTACAAGCATTAGTCAGGTGCACTGGCACACACCCAATACTCACCGCTCAGGAAGCTGAGGCAGGAGGCTTGAGAGTTCAAAGCTAGCCTGGGCTACATAGGGAGACCATTACAGAAACAATGAGCTCTCTTGTTTCTTACGTGCTCACAGCCCTTTGCCCTCTTTCCTCAGAATGTGACTGGAAGACTCATGGTGGGTCTTCGATGGTGGAACCAGATCGATGAGGACGGAAAAAGCCACTGGGTATTTGAAGCCAGAAAGGTACGCTCTGAGACAAGACGGACAAGAACTGGGGTAAGGCTGTGTGACGTTTACACAGGTTCCCTGAGTGTGTGTGTGCCGGACCAGACCCTGCCCTACACAAATCCTCTGCAGTAACACTCACACGGCAGCAGTATGCAGTAACACACGGCAGCAGTATGCAGTAACACACGGCAGCAGTATGCAGTAACACACGGCAGCAGTATGCAGTAACACTCACACGGCAGCAGTATGCAGTAACACATGGCAGTAGTATGCAGTAACACTCACACGGCAGCAGTATGCAGTAAAACTCACACGGCAGCAGTATGCAGTAACACACGGCAGGAGTATGCAGTAACACACGGCAGCAGTATGCAGTAAAACTCACACGGCAGCAGTATGCAGTAAAACTCACACGGCAGGAGTATGCAGTAACACACGGCAGCAGTATGCAGTAACACACGGCAGCAGTATGCAGTAACACACGGCAGCAGTATGCAGTAACACACGGCAGCAGTATGCAGTAACACTCACACGGCAGCAGTATGCAGTAAAACTCACACGGCAGCAGTATGCAGTAACACTCACACGGCAGCAGTATGCAGTAAAACTCACACGGCAGCAGTATGCAGTAACACTCACACGGCAGCAGTATGCAGTAACACTCACACGGCAGCAGTATGCAGTAACACTCACACGGCAGCAGTATGCAGTAACACTCACACGGCAGCAGTATGCAGACAAACTCACACGGCAGCAGTATGCAGACAAACTCACACGGCAGCAGTATGCAGTAAAACTCACACGGCAGGAGTATGCAGTAACACACGGCAGCAGTATGCAGTAACACACGGCAACAGTATGCAGACAAACTCACACGGCAGCAGTATGCAGTAAAACTCACACGGCAGCAGTATGCAGTAACACTCACACGGCAGGAGTATGCAGTAACACACGGCAACAGTATGCAGTAAAACTCACACGGCAGCAGTATGCAGTAACACTCACACGGCAGCAGTATGCAGTAACACACGGCAGGAGTATGCAGTAAAACTCACACGGCAGCAGTATGCAGTAAACAAGCAGAAACAAGTTGTTGCTTGAGAAAGCACAGCGGCTATCCCCCAACAGGCCTCTCCAAACCACATGGCGGCCACTGAAGCAGAGGCACGCATCTTCTGGCTCGGCCTCATCATCTGCCCCGTGGTCTGGACCGTGTTCTTCTTCAGCACCTTGTTCTCCTTGAAGCTCAAGTGGCTGGTAAGATGCACCTTGACCCCCTGCTGCTGTGACAAACCAGGGGCAGTCACTCTAACAGCTAGCTGGAGGCGACCACGCAATGGACACGGTCACCATTCCAAGGGTATCTTCTGGCTGCTGTCATTTTTGCATTTATATAAGCATCATGACCAATCATAGGATTTTTAGAAGAGATTTTATGACTGTGTGTGTATGTGACTGCATGAGGTATATGCAGCAAATGCACAAGTCCTTGGAGGCCCGAAGAGAGCCTGGGTTCCCCGGAGCTACAGCTACAAATTGTTGTAAGCTGCGGGCTGGAGTGCTGGGCACCAAACCCAGGTCCTCTGTGAGAACAGAAAGTTCTCTGAGTCAATGAGCCAGCTCTCCAGCCCATTTTAGAATGTTCATCACCCCCACTCAAAGGATATCTACACTTGGCAGATACTGTCCTTTGTGCCGTTTCCCACCCCTGGCACCCACCTTCCTAGGTAGACTTGCCTGTGAGATCACACAATATTTGTTCTTTTCCAAAGTGGCGTCCACGTTCAGGTCCAATCATACTCTAGTGTTTATCAGTACACCGTTTCTTTGCACGGTTAAATACTATTCCATGGTATGACGATCCCACATTCAGTTTCATTCATTAGCAGATAGGGACTGATGCTGATATGAAATTATTTGTTTCTGAGGTACTGGGGAGGGAACCCGGGGCTGTGTACATGCTAGACAAGCGCTCCATTGAGCTACATCCTCAGCCCCCAGGAAGGAGATTCATTAAAAAGTATGGTATCCGTTAACAGACCATCTTTCTTGGGTGGGAGGGCTGACAGTACTCAGGTTTTATTTGGGAGGGCTGTCCATTCAACAGGGACACAGGACACAGTAGAGCAAGTGCTGTGGGCTTCACAGTTTGGCTTCTGCCTCCACCTCAGCAGCTCAATGGCTTTGGGCAGCTTCTGCTCAGCTTGTCTCCTCTGTGTGAACCAGAGGTTCCAGCCTCTGGGTTGCTTAGGTGTCCATGAGTGCTTGCTTGGGGCAGTCCACAAAGTCCCACTCAGTCTGCACCCTCAGAAGGCTTCCCTTTCCTTTGCCCAATGCAGGCTCTCGTGATCGCTGGGATTTCCCTCCAAGGTGCCAACCTCTACGGCTACATCCTTTGTAAGATGGGGGGCGAGGGTGACATCAGCACAGTTGCAGCCAGCTTTCTGTCCCAGACAGTGTTCCAGACGGTGAGTGGCCAAGTTCCTCCCTGGATCCTTCCTCCCAGGTGCTCAGAGTGAAGGGCACTTGTTGACAACTTCAGTTCCTAACAGTCTTCCTACCAGCAGGCTAGCCATTATTTTCTATCGTGTATATCTAAAATCTACCATGTTGGCTATTTCCAGTGTAGTTATAACTGGGCATGATGGTGCACACCTTTAATCACAGTACTCTGGAAGCAGAGGAAGGTGAATCTCTGAGTTTGAGGCCAGCCTAGTCTACATGAGTTCCAGCACAGCCAGGGCTGTGAGATCATAGTGAGATCCTGTCTCAATAGGTAAGTAAAGAAATAAAAAGCACACTGGGTTAATTAGTTCTAGGGACAGCACTGTGTGGATGCCACAGTCTAGCTCCGGACTCTTCTCACCCCCAACAGTAGCCCTGTCCTTTAGACACCAGCTCCCCATCGTCCCCAGCTGCTGGCACCCACCATCCTGTCTGTAAGGGACTGACAGCTTCTATCAGCAGAGTCAGGGTTTGACACTGTGTGACTACTGTGTAGTTTTAAGTGATATTTAAAGCTTCAGAATTGGGGGCTAGAGAGATGGCTCAGTTCCAAGCATAAAGTTTCTGCAGAGGACCCAGACTGGGTTCCCAGCACACACATTAACAATATGCATACATTCATTAAGAAAAAACACTTACACCCATACCCATAAAATTAAATAAAACTAAACCTACAGAATTGGCCAGGGAGATGGCTCAGTGGATGAAAGAACTGAATGTGTAGACCTGACTACCTAAATTCAATCCCAAGAATCCACATAAGCCAGGTGTGGTGGTATGCATTTATTACCACAGAGTCAGACGAAAAGGAGATACAGAAGGTCATGGGCAACTAGCCTGGAGTACATACTGCAGACAGGTGAGAGACCCTGCCTCAAAAACAAGGTGGACAGAGAAAACTAACTCCACAGGAGTATCATGGAATGTGCATGCCTGCACATAACTACATAACAGACGCACATACCAAAACAAGATAAAAACCACACAGAATTAAGAATGACAAAGTCTTCTGTTTTATTTTGAAGCCAGGAAACATTTCCTTTTTAAAAAATAAGTTATTTTTATTTTATGTCCATTGGTGTTTCACCTGGATGTATGTCTGTGTGAGGGTGTCAGACAGTTGTGAGCTGCCATGTGGGACCTGGGAATTGAACCCAGGTTACCAGGAAGAGCAGTCAGTGCTCCTAACTGCTGAGCCATCTCTCTAGCCATGGAAATATTTCTTGAAGCTAAGAATGAAGGAGTTTTTGGTCTGACAGATTCATTGTGCACAGGTCAAATGCTGCTGCCGGGGCACTGGGTCTCTGGCAGTGCGCTGCTCTTTGCTGGGATAGTCATGGTTCTTCTTGCCTTGCAGGCTTCCCCAGGTGACTTTGAGCAGCCCAGGCTTGAAGGACTGGACATCCACCAGCGTTAGGTGAGGCATGCAGCTCCTGAGCAGCTGTGTCTGAGGTCTTGGCAGACTCTCCCAGGTCCTCCAAGCTGACCTGAGCAGGTCCAAGATGGAGTGCCCAAGTTTAGGGCCTGCTCAGAACCATCGACCTTCAGAAAGGTCACATCTTCCCCACAGGGACCCCAGCACATTCCAAGAGTACGTGTGTAAAGGGGAAGGAGAGGACAGGAAGGACAGGGGAGGGGGCTGCCACCTTCCACTGTGACACCACAATGGTGTAGAAATTGGAATAACTTCCCTCAGCAGCTCTCAGTTCCTATGTCTTAGTCTCAGGTCACGAGGACAGTCACATCAGTCTCTCAAAAGCACTAGGAAACAGTTTTCCTGGGACCCTGAAGATTACTGATGTCCTGAGGGTACCTATTACCCTATGGATGACTTATGGGCTTTTCTGGGGGATGTTGATGGCCCCTAGCCAAAGCATGATCCCAGGCTGGAGACTCCAGGGTGGGCTGAGGCTGCTGTCACTTCCATCCACCCGAGGGAGACACAGGTCTGCCACGAAGCCACAATCCTCCCTCTGTCCCTCCCTAGGCTTATATTCTGAGTCAAAAGCAGCTCCTGGGAGTCCTGTGACCCAGAAGACTGCCAGTCCGGTGGACTCCAGAGAGCAGGCCCTAGGGACGGGTTCAGGGAGTTTTATTTTGCGATGAGTGCGTCTGTATGCAGAGCACCTGTACCTCTGACCTGGAGGAAACGGGCAGACAGGTGATCAAAGGGTCCTATGGATGTCACTCCAAATCCTGTCTGCCCCCTGCTGACCAGATGTGGCTGGACCTGTGCCTGCAGGTTCTGTGGCTAGGAGCAGGTGGCATTGGCTCTGTCCCCTTCAGGAACTGATGAGGTTCTCATTATGTGACTGACGAGAGCTACAAAACTCTTGGATCCCTAGAAAACAAGTGAGCAGTGAGCCTGTCACCTCTGCAGGACCCAGGATTTCAATCCGTTTTATTGGCCTTTATGGCTTGTATTTCCCATGCTATGAACTTCATCCTCCCTGTTTCTCAAACTAAGCATTAGCTCACAACATGGACACACGGGAGGAGTCTCCTGAGGAGCTATGCTGACCATTCAGGTCACCAGCATCCCTGCTGTTGCCAGTAACCTGCCCACTTCTCCTCTAGGTGACTTCCTGTCAGCAGATGTCCCAAACACTTACTTTGAATTATACTTTTGTAGGCTGCTGTGGCTGGTGAATCTGGGGCTTCAATGAAAAAAGACTGGCCTTTGTCACAGCTCTTACCTTAAAGAGACAGAGAAAATGAGACCCTTGTGAAAGCCTCACTCTTTATGCTGGCTGTGTCATGGCTGCCTGGGGCTCCCCACCCAAGGAGAGCAACGCTGGGGAACACAATGGAGGCCTCAGCTTGTCCCCACCCCCAGAAACCCTGCTTCTCTTTGTTGCTGCATGTGGCAAAGGCAGATTCCAGGCCCGAAGAACTGTCTCTGCTGCTCTGGGTGGGCCAGTCGTCTGCATTGGAGATCCACTAACTAGCAGTCCAGGAAAATGAGAATACAGGGAAGGGAATGAGGGCTTTCAATAGAGACAGCGAGTGTGTGGGCAAAACCTCAAGGACTAAGAAGGAAATGCTGGCAGTGTGGATAGAGTATCTCTCCAGAAACACACGCTACCAGGACAGGCCCTGCAGTGCACACACCTGCCCTCTGCTCTCTTCCCCATATCATCTCATCTTTATGGTCACCCACACTGGGGTGCATCAGTCGGCTGGTCCTTCCCATGTATATGCAGGCAGGCATGTGTGCATGCACATACACACCATCCCAGGACCATATGTAACCCAAAGGAGACACGGCTCTCTGGCTGTGAACCTCCCTTGTGCCCAGGTTCCCATGTTGCTACCTGGCATACACTAGGCCCTGCTCAAACATCCCAGTCCCATCTTCCCTGACAGGAAAGACAGCTCCCAAACTTGGGTGCACAGCCACCTGCAGCTGAGCCCAATCTGGTCCGGCTCCTCCCTCTCAGACTCAGGCACCCCGCACTGCTCCACTGACAGGTGAGTCTTTTCATAGGCACTCACCACTCAGACAAGCTCAACTCTGACCTTGGGGAAGCTGAGCCCCTGCCTGTCTCCTCTTGCCCACACAAGCTGATATCCTGGGTGAGCCTGGGATGGAGACAGGTGTACACCTCTTCCTCAGTTCTCAGAGTGCAAATATCAGGATCCAAAATACTCAGCATGGTCCCCAACAGCATGTCAGTGCCCACTGAAGTGGCGCAGAGAGGGCTGTCTCGGTGTGCTTGCACCCTGCAGTCCTAGGGGCATGTGGCTGGGATTTCATGGAGGTGGATCTGAGGAACCTGCCCCAGGCCTCACTGCTTCTCTTCTGCGGGTCCAGCTCTGACCCACCATTCCTGCTCCTACAAACCACACTTCAAGCTGCTAAGATGACTGCACAAGCAGCATGGGCCCCAGACTCACCTATGAGTGGATCCAGCGGCACTTTGCCCAGGAGAGGGATCTTCAGATCCTGGCACATGGCCTCTGCACCCCCGGTTGTGGGAGGGAAGATCTGAGACTCCTTCTGTGAGGCAGAAAAAGGATGCAGTGTTATTCTGCTTCTATTTCCTAGGACACTCTAGTTTCCAGATGTTGCAAAACAGTGGTTTATTTTGGATGTGAAACTCAGGCAGACAAGGGCTTGATGGAGACCCCTCCCTTCCTGACACAGCAGAGAAAGCAGAAACCTAGAGACCACCCCTGCTGTTTCCCTACTAGGTCAAGGGTATGCAGCGGGCCTGCCCCTGGGACCCTCACCTTGCATTTGGGGCAGATGAAGCCACTCATGTTCTCCACCACACCAATAATGGGCAGCTTCACCTTGTGGCAGAAGCTGATCTCTTTCCGGACATCCTGGAGGGCCACCTCCTGACAAAGTTCACAGAGAAGTTATCCTACGGCCTCAGGGCACTGAAAGACACGTGTGTGGTCCAGGGGATGGCCGTGATGCTGTAGGTACACCACCATGGTTTGGTGCTCAATCACCTGAGGGGTGGTGAGGATCACGGCCCCATCAATGTGTGCCGCAGCCAGATACTGGACGACAGAGAGGTGTTCGTCGGATGTCCCAGGTGGAGTGTCTACGATGAGGTAGTCAGCATCCCCCCAGTCTACATCTCGGAGGAACTGCTTGATCATGCCTGGAAGGGAGCAGGGCTGAGTGTGTACACACACCTCCAGAAGTATCTATCCGTCTGCATGAGCATTCCTACACGCCATAGCAGGGGCCCCCAACAGGCAGGAGGTGAGCTCTGAGGACATGTTGGATGGCCATGAAGTCAGGGGTGCTACTATCATTACGCATGGCACAGAAACGCTGCCCCAACAGACTCATGTGACTGATGTGTCAATAGTGAGAGAAGGTGCTTGTCCCCGGCCATGTTTTCTGCATGACCTTGTTTCCCCACACTGATCCACCAAGGGTTTTCTTCACATTTCCCTCCTTGACACAAAGCAGCCATGTGATACCACACTACAAATAACTTCAGGGTCCTGCAAGTCTCAAGAGCAGAAAAACTCGTAGTAGGTACTACAGTGTCTACACTAAAAACTGGTATTTCTCATACCAGATCAGAGCACTCATAAGTAGGATGTCCTGAGTGCCATCCCCACTATCAAAGTAATAGCATCAAACACCAAAAAGCCCATGCATCAGGTGCTGCAGTCTCCCTGATAGTATGGCTATAGACAGAACCAAGAATTTGAGCCACAAGAGCAGAGTGACAAACCATTTTTTTTTGGTCCCCTCCAGATGACAGCATCATCAGGGCTGCTGAGCAGGAAACCCACAGACATCACCCCCAGGTTGTCCTCCACGTACTGCAGAGGAATGGGGATAATGGGAAGAAACATTTGCATGTGGGGAACAAGAGCACAACACATCTGCATAAACCATATGTCGGTACTTCCCAGGGAATCTGGTTGAAAAGAACAAAGAATAAAGGTGTCATGTGTCTCACACCTACACTTGCTCTTTGCAGTCTAGGGAGCCATGGCGAGATCCACAAGAGGCCATGTATGGCCTGTGCCTCAACAAAAGGCCAATGAAGCCAAAACAAACACCATCTCCTCAGGTGTCTAACTGAATGAGTAGAGACCTCACAATCTGGTCTTGGAGGTGAGGTTTGACTGGGACACACTATCATTCAGTGCACAATACCACTTCAGAGCCATGGAACCGGAGGCACCGGTCCATCGGGCCCATTATAGACAGAGTCCACCAGTCCTTGATCTTACCTGCATGCTTGGAAAACAGCCTCAGTAAACATGCAAGTTGAGCAATATTTTACCAGCCCCACCTCCATCAGCCCATCAGATATACCTCACTCACACAATCCGCCTCCCCAGGAAAGCTAACTCACCACTGGAGACCAGCCGGAGCCACTCTGGTGAACCTGTGGGAACATGGCAGTCATTCTTACCACTACACTCTGGTCCAAAGAGGATGGTTTCACACACTGAGTCACCACCCTGTATTCCACCACCCAATAAAAGAAGGTTTTGTAATTACATTTATTTAGTGTGTGTGTGTGTGCCTGTGTTTCATGACTGCGCATGCAGAGGTCAAAGGACATCCTTCAGGAATCTCCTTCCAGTATGTGGATCCCAGGAATAGAATTCAGTCATCAGGTTTGGCAATAAGCACTTTTACTTGCTGGCTGCTCGGTTAGCTCTTAGTGGAGAGTTGAGAGATGAAGACCTTATTTGGTACAAACTCTCTCTCCCTGTCCCTGTCAAGGAACCAAAACTATCCAAGTTCAGGCACAATTCTGAGGTATTAGAAAGAACGAGAGAAGCTGGCCAGCTGCTGCTTCATGTAAGGCAGTCAGGTCACTATGTACAGAAGAGTGACCTTTGGTGACACAGCTGATTCAAGGCTACCCTAAGGGGCTGCAGTGATGGCTCAGCAGTTAAAAGCACTGGCTAGGATTCCAAAGGACCTGGGTTCAATTCCCAGCACCCAAATTTTGGTGGCTCACATCTGTCTGTAAGTCCAGTTCCTGGCAATCTGACAGCCTCTTCTGGACTCTTTGGACAATGTGATCATGTGATGTCAGACACACATGTAGGCAAAACACCCACACACATAAAATGAAATACAATTTTTAAAGCTGCCTATAGGGCAGGCACAGTGGTGCAGACCTTTAATCCTAGGACTTAGGAGGTAGTGACAAGTGGGTCTTTGTGAGTTCCAGGTCAGCCAGGGCTACGCAGTGAGTTTGTTTAAAAGAAAACCAAATAAACAAACAGAAAACCTGGCCCAGTCAGTGGCCCGAGCCCTGACTCCAGAATGCTATCCGCAGAGGGCAAGGCCCAGAGTCCCCAGGAAGTCCCATGGGGCTGCTTCTAGGCCTGGACCCCCAGGGCTGTACTCTGCCCTATTTATTATGAAACTGTAACATAAGCAACTTCCACCTCCACATCAGACTGTGCTTCTTCTCTTTCCGTTTTCCAGACAGGGTCTTGCCACACCTCTGGCCCCATAAACCAAGTGACCCCTCTGGCTCACCCTCCCAAGTAACTGGACTACATGTGTAGCACATGCCTGGCTGGATCTCTACTTCCTAAGTCATGCTTGCACTCTAAGTAGCCCAGGTCAGACCCAGGTTGGGATGTGTACTGTGCAAGGGCTCACTGACTAGGGAAGAATCCTGCTTTTACTTCAGCGTGGCTGACACTGCACATACGCAGTCTTCAGATGCACAGCCAAGGCCTTGGCAGCGCGACCAAGCCTAGTCCGGGTAAGCTTCCTATTTACTGAGGCTCAAGGCTCCTGTTCTTGCCCCTCTAGCTCTCCACACTGGGAAGCCCTCCACTCTCTGCTGAAGCCAGCCCCTCTCCTGCTTTAGCCTCCTGTCCTCTGCCCTCCCCATGTGCATGTTTTTGCCTTGCTTGACACTGTATGTCTAGAATAGAGAACCTGTAGTTAAGGAAACAGCATTGCAGCCTGAGCCCTGGCCTGGCTTCTGCACACCACCAGGGGTCCTTCCTGAACGAGGGCAATAGCAGACATCCCTACTGGCATGTTTCTCACCAATCCCGCAATCAGGGTCTGAGCTTCCAAGAGGAGACCATGGCTCTGAGAGATTCTCTAGCTTCCAGAGTGGACCCAAGCAAACACTAGCCCCTAGTTCCTGCTCAGAGCTGAATTTCCACCTCTCACTTCTGCCTCCTGCTTGCTGCTTCCCTCCCACATCATGAAAGGCTCAAAAACCAAGGCTTCTCATATATGTGGATGTACTTTGTATGTAATCCCAAACCCCCAAATCCACAGCTACTGAGGAAGAACAGAGGGGCTACTGCACATGCTCGCCCAAAGAGAACCAGTCTGGTTCTCTGACAGCCATCACCTGCTCTCCTTCTAAGCCCATGATCTTGGGAATTGATGGCCCACAGATATCGATGTCCAGAAGGGCGACCTGGGAATGAGAAGAGACAGCATCACTGACTGCTTAGACCCTGGAGATGTGTATCCCAAGACAGGACACAGACATGGGTGACACACCAAAACAGATGGCCAAGTGTCCATTCTCTCATGGGAAAGGTAGAACGTGGACTTCCAGGCCACTGATGCAGTATAACTCCTAGGGTACGGCATCCATGCAGTCCCCAGTGTGGAACAGGGTGATCTCACAGCAGGTCATTAAGCCACTCAGATGACGCTGAGATTCAGAGAGGTCTGGGGACTTGTTCAATGAGTAAGGAACAGAGACTGTACAGAATCAAAGTTTCCGATGCCAGTGCTCTTCCCATGACACTCTCAGGCCTACAGAGGACGAAGGAGGACTGAGTGGATTCTGGCTGATCTCTAGGCAAGCCCTGTTTTCCTGGGACCAAGCAGAAAACAAACTTTCCAAAGAGCCTTAAAAGGAGAAGAGAGATCCTGGAGAGATAGCTCGGACACTGAGAGACCAGCTGGTCTTCAACAGAGCATCCATGCCGAGTGGCTCAAGATCTCCAACTACAGTTTCAGGGAGATCTGGAGTCCCCTTCTGGTCTCCACAGGTACTGCACTCATGTACACACCTCTAAACACATCCTTTTATTTTGTGTATCTTGCCTTTGTGTATGTCTGTGCACCACATGCATGCCTGGTCCATGCAGGCCAGAGAGGGCATCAGATCCCCTGGGGCTGGAGTTATAGATGGTTGTGAGTTGCCATATGGGAGATGAGAATTGAACTCACACTGGGCAGCCTGTCACTCCAGTTCCAAGGCTATCCAACACCTTTTCCTGGCCTCTCTAGGCACATGCACACACGGCACTGACACAGATACACATACACACAAGAATAATCTTTAAAAAATATGAAAGGAATCTGGGAAGTTCTTGATGGGGACTTAGGGAATCTCAGAAGAGACTGTCCCTAAGTCTGACAACTGGCCTGTGGCATCACTCGCTGACCCTGTGAAGGGCAGCTGTTCATCTTGAGAACTGGTGGTCTGGGAACTTTGGAACTTGCCCCGTGCTTGCTTCTTTCTTCCATCTCCAGTCCTACTTCCTCTACAGCTGGCTAACTGTGGTACTGGTGATGAAGAGGAGGAAGAGAACCTCACCACTAAGATCCCTGCCCAAAAGTGCAGCAGAGGGACATCTGCCACCGAGGATGGGACCTGGGTGTGTGACATGAGAAAAGACATGGAAAGCAGAGAACCTCTGCTGCCCTAGCAGGCCTCCAGCTACCTGTCTCACCTGCTCCTTCTGAGGAAAGAATTGCCCCACAAGTCAAGAGAAGGAACTCAGCCAAGTGACACCAGGATGCAATTCCCAGACTGACGGTCACCCCATTGTCCAGGAAGGCTGTGACAAGCTCTGTGTCCAGGTCTCCCTAGGGTGCTCCTTATGGTAGATGGTACCTGAGTCACCATCCCTCTCCTGCCTAGGTCAGGCTAGTGAGTGCCTGCTGAAAACCAGGGCTCTCTCCCCACTCAGGACCTCCCAGGAGTCCCTCCCACGGTAAGTGCGGAGTGGAGGTGTTGTGCAGTGTCAACTCTGCCCCCCTTAAAATGTCAACTTTCATCCCTCACAGGGTCCCGGCTCACTTCACAAGAAGGCTTTCCCACAGTCTTGCCCACCAGAGCTTCTGGCCTGGGAAATGAAGAGTTTGAGAGTCAAGGCACCTCTGGCAGGGGAGCTATAACCTCAAGGAGGGGTCTCAGGTGCTTCCTCGACACACTCTGAGCTGACAGCACCGATGCTGCTCACCTTTGTCCATGTGCTCAAGTTCATCCATGGGACTTTACAGGAAAGGAAGGTAGCGTGTGATCCTGGAGGCCCCTGGCCTGGCTAACAAAGGCCCCTCCCTAATTTACATACACCTTCCTTCCTCTGCCCGGGGGCAGTGTGCGCATTCTGCACAGAAGCACTCAAACACAGCAGGGCTCAACTCTACTTCTGTTGTCTTTACCCTGGGTCTTTCCCAAACAAGATGGTGAACAGCAGCTTAGAGCAGACTGGGCCACAGAGGCAACCTGACGGCTGGAGAAACTGCACTGCTGATGCTCACCAGCAGCTCCATCCAGCGCTGACCACATCTACACGTGCATGGAGGACGGCCCTGCGGTCACTGCCATGACGCTGCCCAGAGAATGCAGGCTTTCCTACCAGCTGCCTTCAGTTTTGAGGCAGTCTCACTTTGTAGCACAGGCTGGCCTGGAACTCTTGACAATCCTCTCAAGTGCCAAGACTACAGGCGTGAGCCAGCGTGCCCAGATCACCATCTTTTTTAAGAACTATAACAGCATAAAGAAATCCAGCTTGCCAGTCCTGTCTCCACACTGGGCTGCAGACTGAAGTCTTGACCAGGATGTAGTGAGAACACACAGTGGCCTGAGAACATTTCAACAGCTCAAGAGCCGAAGCCTATCCAGCCAATACACCTCAATTCCTGTGGTCGTTAGAACCCTTTCTGCCTCTCAGACAAACACTCCAACACTGTGCTCCAGCCCCAGCCCCTTGTGGAAAACACCGACAATGGGACTGAAAGATTGCCCTGTACAGGTCGAGAAAATCTGACCCTTTGGTGGCAAGAGACTATCCCCTAACAGAACATTCAACCTGCCCTGGATGGCAGCCACGTGTGCGAAGATGAGGATGCTGTGGGACATTTCCAGGACACTGACTCTGTGGGAGGACTGGTGCAACCTCTCACCCAGGCCTCTGTGCCCGTCTCACAGAAGGGAAAATGGAGGCAGAGTGAGCACCCTTTATTAAAGCCAGCATCCAGCAAGGTACTGGGGATTTGAGTTAGTTGTCTGTTTTGAGACAGGGTCTCACTCTGTAACCATGGCTAGCCTTGAATTCAAAATTCTCCTGCCCCAGGCTCCAAAATGGTGGGACTTACAAGCGTGTGTCACATGGGTGGTGAGGTGACTCCAATTCCTGCCTGTCTGTACACTTGAGATGAGGGACCGAGCACAAGGGTCATTTTTACAAGAAGCAAACAAAAAATGTTTTCTGCTTTATGGACAAAAACAAGAGTAATATTTAGGTGCTTACGTGACTTGAGAAGTACCCATCTAAATATGTAAATATCACTCTTAGCTCACAGGGGATGGACCAAACTACAGCTCAGCATCTGGACTTGAAGGGCACAGAAGGAGCTTCACAGGGGCAGGTGTACAAGGGCCCAGTGTGACATGACCAGAATGGGAGGAGCCATGCTGCCAGCTGCCTCTGGGTTAGAGGACCCAATCAAACACCTGCAGTGGTCAGGTAGGTCCTCATTCTCTCGGCTGGGTCAAGACAGTCAGAGAGGTTGGCTCCCTGGAGACTGAGAATCACCCCCTAAAGCCATCAGGACCTCTGACACAAGCACACTCCCAGCACAGCCCAGGATCCCACCTGTGTGTCTCCATCCTCTGCCAGGCCGTGGGCGAGGTGGGCGCTGAACGTGCTTTTCCCAACACCACCTTTCCCAGACAGCACCAAGATTCTGTGTTTCACCGTCTTCATTTTCTCTTTGATCTCCTCCACAGCTGCAAAGAAGCAGATGAGGTAATGCCATCCCTGCCTTGATTCTGAGTGTCCTTCTTCCAAAGGCTGGAAGAATCACACTCTTTAAGCTGTTTCTAAGGCTCCTTGTGAGGTATCACTTCAGCAAAATACTAATAAATGTTGGGAAGAAAATATGGCCACTACCACACCTGAAATGGTCTTGTTTCATTTATGCATTGCCTCATCTACTAGAACATGGGCTCCCAGGAGGGTACGGTGTCCAAACTCCCAGCTCCTGAGCACAACCTTGCAGAGAGTAAAGCCTTACAACCTAGGAGATGTTGGGGAATATTATTTTAAGGTGTGTTACTTTTGTTTATGTTGCATTTGTTTAACTCTGTGAAGCTGTGATTCTTTGCCTGTCTAAAACACCTGATGATCTAATAAAGAGATGAACGGCCAATAGCGAGGCCAGAGAGAGAAATGGGTGGGGCTGGCAGGCAGAAAAGATAAATATGAGGAGAAATCTGGGAGAAAAAGAGTCTGGGAATGAAAGAGGAAGGAAGAGAATTTCTTCAGGGGCCAGTCACCCAGCCACACAGCCAGAAAATGGAGTAAGAAGGAAAGAAAAGGTATACAGGAATAGAGAAAGATAAAAGCCCCGAGGCCAAAGATAGATGGGATAATTTAGTTTAAGAAAATCTGGCAAGAATCAAGCCAAGCTAAGGTCAGACATTCATATCTAAGAATAAGCCTCCGTATGTGATTCATTTGGGAGCTGGGTGGCGAACCCCCAGAGTCTAAGGAGCTAACGAGCAAAAACAACCATCAAGGGAACATCTGTCACCATCTGCAGAAATTCTCTGGATGTCACAAGGAGGGACTACTAGTGGCATGTAGGATGATGCTGAGTGTCTGAAGCACAGGACAGCCCAAACGTCACCAGTGCTAAGGACGAGAAATCCTGACAGACAAGCTCACAGTTGGAGCCATCCCAACAACTCACTGTGCTTCCAACACCTCATCTTTTCCAAACCCTTAAAAACTACAGGTGGGCTACCTACTCTTCACGATAAGGCAATCAGAAATCTTGCTCGAGGTCAGTTTGCCTTCTCCCAGCTTCCTGTTTTCCGGGCCCCTTCTAGGCAGGACCTCAGTCCTCCTCGGCCTGGAGCTGGTCCCTGAAGGGTTTAATCTGTTTGCTCCCGCTTCTCTCCCTGTCTGTGGCCTCATTCTCACAGCTGCCCCTCCACTCAGACACTCAACATTCATTTCTGCTGAGGGGTGGACTCATCTTCTCCGTACAGAGATTTGTGACAGACACGTGCCAGGACGTAGCCTCGAAAGACTCCAACATTTATCCACTCTCCCTCTGTGCCTGGCCTTGTGTATACTGAGGTCAGTGGCTGTCACTCAAACCCTTGCCCTGTCCTATATCACTTTTTTCTAGTCTATCCTTCTTTAAAGTCCTATTTAGTTACTGGGTTTTGTTTTTCTGAGATAGGGTCTCATCTAAGCACAGGCTAGCCTCTAACTCGCTAGATAATCGAGGGTGGCTTTGTTTTTCGTATACACTGTGCCGAAATAAACTGTATCTTTTTGTTTGTTTTTATTGAGCAATATATTTTTCTCCGCGCCCCTCATCAAGAGTGATCTTGAACTCCTGATCCTCTTCTAATAGAGAAAACATGTTAAGTGGTGACATTAACAAGCATGTGCCAACACCCTCGGCCTAATGTTCACTCAGGGTCTTACTGTGTAGCCCAAGCTTGCTTCTTTCTAACTTGTGGCCATTCTGCTTCTTCCCCCAGGGTGCTGGGGGAAAAGCCGGAGGAACCAAGCTGATTTGAAGGCCCCGTTTGGTCCCCTGACTATCACAGATCAGACTCAGCCTCCACTTCCACCACTTTCCTCTGCTATTTGACCGTTAAAAGCCGCCCCTCGCTCCTCAAGCTCCGCCTACCACGCCAATCCCCCCCCCCCCCAACCACAGACAATTCGGTCTACTAGTCGCTGTCATTTATCCTTCAAGTTCCGCCCCTTCCACTTCCTGCTCCGTCGGCCTCCTCACCCGGGTCCGAAGCGGCGCCGGCGCCCGACGCACACAGCCTTTGGTTGGGGCATCCCTGGCACGAGGCTCCTCGGCCCGCCTGGGCGCTGTCGGCTCCGGGACAGCCTGTGCGGGGACAAGGGCACAGTCAGAGCGGCTCGGTCCCAGCGGCCCGCCACCCACGCGTCCCGCGCCAACTCACCGTGGGGCGCCTCCTCCATTCTGCTACTCTTGCCGGGGCTGCGCTCGCCGGAAGTCCAGGAGCGTGCTTCCGCCTCGCGGGTCCAATCTGACCCTTCGGCCGCGTGAACTGTGTCTCCAGGCTGGGACTGCGCACGCGCAAACTCCTCTGCGCAGTGGGTGGGGCTCCGATTTCGGTTTCCTCCAAAGCTGAGCTGAGATGATCGTACGAAGAGTACGGGGTCTGAGCAGGTGAGGTGGCTCTACGAACGCAGACGCTTGTGGAGCAAGTCTGACGGCCTGCGTTCGATTCCCAGAACTCACGTGGTGGAAAGGGAATGGGCTCTTGAAAGCGGTCCTCTGACAAATGCACAAAAATAAGTTTTTTTTTAAAATATGACTTCTGTCAAAGAATCTTACGCTCCATGACCTCAGTGTTGAGGCTAGTAAAAGTACAATCTGTAAATCTTAAAAAAAAAAAAAAAAAAAGGCTGGATTGATGGCTCAGAGGTTAAGAACACTGGATGCTCTTCCAGAGGTCCAAAGTACAATTCCCAACAATTGCATGGTGGCTCGCAGCCATCTATAATGAGATCTGGTGCCCTCTTCTGGCGTACAGGTAGAATACTGTATACATAATAAATCTTTAAAACAAACAAACAAAAACCACTACAATTACGTCTCGATATTTATTTTCAAATAATCTGCCCTTCTTAGATTCCTTGCAGGCAGGCTGGGACCGTGGCTCAATCGGCAGAGTGCTTAATCTATCATACTTGAGAGCCTTTATTCCATCTCCAGCACTATAAAAACAAAACACTTCCTCCTCCCTCTCTCTCCTTTGTAGCCCAGGCTGACTTTGAATTAAAGATTTTCTTGCCACTCTTGGTCAAGAGGCGAGACTTTATTTACAAAGCAGTATAGCGCAGTGGTAGAGAACCTGTCTAGCAAGTGAGAAGCCATAAATTCAATCCTCAGCAGGGCAAGGTCTCATTGATCCTCCAGCCTCTACTAGCTGCTGGGGTTACAGATGTGCACCACTGTAGAACTTTAAGACAATTCTGAAGCCATTTCTGACAACTCTCAGTACTTTCCCACCTCCCCTGGGAACCAAGGACGTAACAACTATGCATGCACATACTGAGATGTTGGGAACTTTCCATCTCCCTAAGTAGGGGCAAGATAACCCTCAGGTGTTGACTCAGTGACTGATGTTTTGACTTATTTCCTGGGAAGGGGCAAAGTGACCCTCAGAAGTTTCCTCTTACCTCATCTGATCTGGCAACCACTCTCCAGCCAATTATTGGTAATAGCCTTTTTGAATAAGCCAACCATAATAGTTAAAGAGCAACCCCCAGACACCCCTTCCTTCTGTGGTTTTTCCCTTTAAAAATAGCCTGTATCAGACATTCAGGGTCTTCTAGCCTTCCGACTGCTGGAAGACCCTGCCATGACAGAATTAATAAAATCCTCATGCTTTTACATCAGCTGTGATATGAGAGATGGTCTCTTGGGGCAACTCCTTCTCCTCGGTGATTGGACACTAGGGTCCAACTCCACCACTCCTGGCTCCTAGGCTAAAAAAATAAAAAGACACTCTTAAAATCTCTATGCTGTTAATAATAATTTGTTCAGTGTTTTGTTACTTTCTCTTCAAATTTGTTCAGTGGAACCTCTTCAGACCCACTCCTGTGTCCTTTGGTTGTTAACCTCAGTTTCTGGGAGCGTTTCCTAGCTTTCTCTCATGCCCACGCTCCCACTGCTGTTGCTGCAGCCCTCTCTCTAGGAGCCTGGCTGCTTCACAGGCATGGGTGCCCATGGGGGCACTACTATATGCAGTTTGGGCACAAGGTGGTAGTTGTTGTTTTAGTTGAGGAATTCTAAACTCTCATTTATTTTTGAAGTTATAATTGTTATCATTTTGCTGACACCAGCCCCTTCCCACCAAGGCAAGCTGATCTCGGGCTTTCTCTCCAAACTCTCTCTTTGCTCATTCCTTTTCTGAAGAGATAACCACTGCCTCTCTCTCTTCTCCCCTTCCCCCTTCTTTTTTCTCTCTCCCCTCTCTCCCCTTTCTCTGTTCCCCCTTCTTCCCTCTCCTCCATAACCCCTTACTCTTATGCCATTCCCAGTACTCACTAAATAAACACTTTACCCAAGCTCTCTCCATAGGGTGTATCTGTCTGTCTCCCACCTGCCAGGGGACTTACCAAGGTTGTGCCACTGAATATCTTTCAATAATTACATCATTTCTCCCTTCCCTTTCCTCCCTCCAAATCTTCCCACTTATCTCTCCTTGCTGTCTATCAAAGTTATGACATCTTTTTTCACCGTTATTACATATTTTATCTATATCTGCATACACACACACACACACACATATGTTACACACACAACCTGTTCCATCTGTGTGGAAGTTTGAAAGAAAATGGCCCCAAAAGGGAGTGGCACTATTAGAAGGTATGGCCTTGTTGGAGTATGTCACTGTGGGGGTGGTGGCAGGCACCTTAATCCCAGCACTCAGGAGGCAGAGGCAGGCGGATCTCTGTGAGTTTGAGGCCAGCGTGGTCTATAGAGCAAGTTCCAGGACAGCCAGAACTACACAGAGAAACACTGTCTCGAAAAACAAAACAAAACAAAAAATAGAGTAAAAACACAGCAAATCATTCCCAGTGCCTTCTTGACTCAGCTGCATGACATTTAAAAAAAATGTCTGTGGGGTATAGGGTAAAAGGGACAACTGGAACAGGAAACCAACCAATCACTGAGCACCCTGACTCTGAACCCAGAGCCAGTGGAAGAAACATACCCTGGATCTAAGACCTGACCCAGGAAAAGAAACATCTTTATCCCTGAACCCAGGGCCAAAGAAATACTCCCTGACTTTGAAACCAGTGTCAAAGAAACACACTTTGTCCCTAGAAATAGAACCAGTGAAAGAAACACGCCCTCGCCCTAAAATAAGAGTCAAAAAGCTAAAAAGAACCAGTGAAAGAAACACAGTTTGGCCATGAAATCAGAGCCATCTCTGTCCCTGACCAACTAAACTAACCAATCCCTTTTCTCCCTGGGAAAACTCCACCCCTAAGAAAGCCCTATATAAGCCTCTCTGCCTATTTCACTAGAGGTTGCTGTCTGTCCATTTATCTCTCCCTGGTAGAGGCAGCCAACTCTCCTGGACTCCTCCTTCCCAAATAAATCTTTCTCAAGAGTCTTGGGTAACTATCTTCTTTTCCCTGTGCAGAATAAAAGAACCTAGCTGGGACAACTCTTAGGGTACTGAGCTAAAAAAAAAAAAAAAAAAAAAAAAAAAAAAAACCCTTGTTGAGACATTCCCTTAGGGGGGCTGAGCAAGGTGGAGCAGAACAGAATGGAAGAACTTTACTTGGCCACTCCACAAGGGTGGGTGAGCAAGGAAGTAACAACTTTTTGCTGGGGCAGAAGCCAGATCTGCAGCTGCTGCTACATTTCTGCAGGGGCTTCCTTTTTAGCAAAAGAAGCTGGAGAAGTAGGGAGCACTTCTAGGATGTTCCCTTAGGAGAACAGAGCAGATTTCAGCTTTGGCCGCTCTCCGGGAGAAGAGCAGGATTGCTATATCCTGTGGGGAGACAGATCATCCCCCACCGCAAGTCAGCTTCAGGTAGCCTGGCTTCCCCATAAGTCAGGACTCATTCCCTCCAGTGCTGAGCTGTCCTATTGCGGCTCCACCCCTGCAGAGCTGGCTGTAGTCAGGATATCTCTGCAACTCCACAGCTGTAAACATTCCCCTGCATGGGGACACTGCTGATTGGAAATCTCACTCAGGAGAAGACCTTCTGCCCGGGACCCTCTTTGTCAACCAGGACTGTAAGTTCCAGCTGACTGCTTCAGTTTCCAGGGCTTGTCCGGTGCCTTTCTGCTGCCAGGTCTGATCCCGTGCTTTCTTATCTTCGTGCTGTTTGTTGTTTTGTTCTTTAACTCCTGTTTGCTGTATACTTAGTAAACTCACTCAAAACCAAAGGTATAGCTGTCTCAGATCATTTTCTGCATGGGACAAGTGAGAGACTGGGGCTTCTCAAAATGAACAACAGGCGCCAGTAAGGACAGATAGGAGGCCAGAGAGGGACTCATCTGTCATCAAGGGAAGTGACAAGACCCCAGGATTCTTATTACATCTGACAGAGGCTGTGAGCTCTTAACTCTGCTTTATTGCAGAGCAAGAAGCAAACTGTTCTCTCTTTACTAGACTTGGAAAGGTTCAGTGGCTTGTCACACAGCAGGTTCTTCTGGAACTTTCCAGACCATGGGATGATTTTCACTCCGCCACACTGCAGAGCCCAGACACAGGCCTCCTTGGGTTGTTCCTCACTGATGTCCCTGGGCACCAGACCAGCAGGGCTTCTGCCTAACTGGCTGTTTTCAGTGAAGTCAAAGGACTCATCATGTTCCATACAATTCAACAATCAGCGTATCCGTCTTCTCTCTTGCTTCCTCCCTAGAAGGCTGGAAAAGTGAGCAAGCGTGATACACTAGAAAGTAGCAGAAAATAAGGTTTCCTCTTCTCACCGAATACCTGTGTCGTCCAAGATGGAATTTTCCATTCTTTCTTACTTAAGCAGAGGGCAGTCAGAACCCAGGGTTCAAAGCAGATTGTGCAAGTCAAAAAAATTAAGTGGAGGAGCCAAGTCTGTGTCTTACTGCTGTAGGAGGCTGCTTGCTTGTTCCCGGCTACTCAGCCCCAAAATAATCACTCAGAAACCATATTATTTGCAATACTGTTTGGCCCATAGCTTAAGTGTATTTCTGGCTAACTCTTATATTTAATTTAACCCATCTCTATTGATCTGTGTATCACCACGTGGCTGTGGCCTACCAGATAAAGTTCATTCAGCATCTGTCTCTGACTCTGCCTCCTTTCTCCTAGCATTCAGTTTAGTTTTTCCTCCCTAGTTCTGTTCTACCCTATCAGGGCAAGCCAGTTTCTTTATTAACCAATGGTATTCACAGCATACAGAGGAAATCCCACATCATCTTACTCTATTAGGCAGGGCAGAGTTGAGTGTGTGTGTGAGTGTGTGTGTGTGTGTGTGTGTGAGTGTGTGAGTGTGTGTGTGAGTGTGTGTGTGAGTGTGTGTGTGAGTGTGTG